ATTATTTTTTTCACATAAAATAACATTTCATCAAGTTTTATTTGTACATCATTTACTACTGATCGATGGAATTACAAGTTATTGCCGAAGGCTTACCATCATTTGTTAATGTCCTGGACATGCAGCAGTCACACTGTGCTGTACCAGGGCTACCGACGCTCCTGTAGTCCGTTCTCACGCTGCAATCTATAGGCTGAAGACGTAGAGGTGGCAATACTAAGGCTGCATCTGCACTGTTTAAAAACCCGTATCTCCCCTCCAGCTGCGGGTGGAAAGAATTGCACTGGTGTACGTTTGGAAAATGGATATCTTGAGCAGAGTCTCTACTACAGCTTCCGCAGCTGAAATATGGCAAAATATTCTAGGTTGTAATTGTGCCACAGCAGCTGTTGCCCGAAGAACCCAGTGGTACTCGATTGTGTGGTGGAACTGAGAAGTCCATTACCAGTTTGGCCAACATGAGCACAGCAGAATAAAGCTGAGGAACAACCTGGGACAATAAATTCTGTTGTACAGCCACAGGCAAAACAAAACAAAAAATGTAGGTATTAGCTGTGTTCTGTAGTAGGAGGCTAGACCTTGCTGCTACAAGCATGTTCTGGATTCTGCCTGTAGAGAACTGCTGTGACAAAGTCGGTCAAAGTGATTTGTTGAATTAGAGTGAAGACCCTGCACATTTCCTTTCTGTGTATTTAGGAAGAGAGAACTGGTGATCATGAGAGAAATTGAAAGAGCAAATAAAAACTTCAAAATCTGGTATGCTCTGAACTGTTATCCCCTTGCAAAATAGCCTCCAAGTTAAAGAACAGCACTGTATAGCCACCACAAACCTTCCAGAGTTACCCTTAGCAAGTCTGATAAGGCACAGAAATATCCAGATGCAGGGAGAACACCTTCAAGCAGATGGACAACAGTTCATCTATGGCTCGCTGGAGACCAGTGCTATTGCTTTCTCAGTTAAGATATTCATATTTCATGGTGTTGCTGATTTAGTTTCAGCAGAGATCTGGGTAAACAGAACTCCAAGATTAAAGCAAAAGGACGCTGAACAGAGTTGTAATGCCATTTGGGAGCTTGTAAGTGCTTTCAACCCCATGAAATAAGATCCTGCTCAATAAACTAGAGAATTCACTGCCTCCACCACGTATTGCACTGATTCATTATTGCTATTGCCCTGTCGTGCTCTTCTCCTTCCCTACCGGGAGTTCCTCATCCACGTGGTTCTTCAGCCACACCTGCAAGATGGTACAGAATTATGTCAGCTAGAGTCAGTTCTTCCCAAAATTGGGAGGGTTTCAAGATTCTGGAGCACCACAGAAGTGAGACTAAGTGGGCTAAAATCGCATCACTTGGTATGTGAAATACAGATCCAGGTCTTACATCAAACAGATCTCAGCAATGGTACTTCAGCCCTTATCTAACATTTCAGTGCTGGAACTTTCTTGGTTGAGCTCAGTAAAGCAGGACACTATTCTGAAAGACACCTTTTCTTCCATCTAAAAAAAAAAGTCTGTCAACAATGAAAATGAAGCTCCTTTCATGAACCAGTTAGTTTGCTAGAAATAGTATGGCTTCAGCATACATGAAGATTTTGCAAGCAGAAGGGTTATACTCATGTGCAGCTCTACCTACAATAGAGCTGCCCATCAGTACATGCACGTTCTCAAACCTTTGTGTAGTCTGTATGAACAACTACAACCTTTGGCTTACTGCTAACAAAAGTGGGACTCTAATCTGACCTTGAATCTGTGCTTAGATGTTTATTGAGCCTAAAAGCACTGAGTATAGCATAAAAAGACCCAAATCTTCCTATAATATGCCAAGTGCTAGATATGCCAATCACAATGTGATTTCTACTTTCTACAGCTTTTTAGCAATATTAAGATCCAATGAAACAGCCAAGTGCCTTCTGCTATGTACGTCAAAGCTTTCCACTGGGATGGCCTTTAAAACACATAAGATATAAAAAAAACACCACTGCTGTAACACTGCTAAATTTTATAATAAAAAGTTCTATTCCTAGAGGTAGCTTCCTACAATGCACATATAAGAGTATCTATGTGTTTATTATTCCCACAAAAGCCTGTTTGTCTCTACAAAATAGTTTACCAGAAGCAGGTTAAACATCCAGTTTAGAAAATTGCTCATCCCAGACCTACAACCAACACCTCTGCATGCAGCGTGAACTGCCAGCTCCTTCCCTGAGCATATTTGCCAGTGCAGGCACTGACCATTATATCCAGAACGTCACCAATACAGAAGCATGAGTCCATTCTAGGTCATGCTTCCACAGCCTTCGCAAGTCCCACTCCGATACGACTTCATCCCCAAGCCAATGGTAGATAAATACTTGGCATGGCTGTGAAACATATCCTGATAATCCTGATAATATTGATAATCCTGATAATATTGATAACATATCAATAACTGACTCTCTCATCTGAATAAGAATTGATTACATTTGATCAGACACCGCTAGACTTCAGGGAGCATGGTAGCTTACAGTGATAAAGCCAGAAGAGCTGTATTACAGCCAATTTTACAATTACAATACAGACCAAGTCCAATAAAAGTCCGATTAGGGGGATGACTTGTAATCTAGAACCTTAATATCTTTTGCCTGATAGTAAATCAATTGTTGGTTTGCTCAAGATCATAGCTAGAGTGATGAGTTCATGGAGTTTTACATGCAAACAGAGTGAAATACCAATGGACTAAAAGCTTGTATGAAAATGGACTGGCTTCCTACAGTTTTCATGTATTAACAACTCTCCGTGAAAGCAAGCTTCAAACTACTTAACACTATTGCATTCAGTGGTCTCCTTTTCATCTGCTTGGAGTTACGTAGGATTAAATACACTCAATAGCACAAAAGCACTCCGAGAAGGAAAAGGGCCCGACTCCTCCTTCCCTGGCAAGGAAGGCATCAGCTGGGCCTGAAATCTGCACCACTGACAACCTAATGGATAGTGGCACCAAAATTTGTTACACTTAGTCCAGAATTCTTATGAGGATGGATGTGGAGAGACAACCCTCACCACCATGGGAGAAGAGGGGCATCTGAAAGATCATCTCCCCCTGTTCAGTAATACCCAGGCTACACTTGGCGTTATCCCAGCAGAAGTTCCTCGAGGTAATCAGAAGACCCACTGTTAACCACACACAGATGCGGTAAAGTCTGTTCAGTTACCAAATCATCTTCTACTAGAGACTGATTTTTAAAATCCCTTAATGTTAAGTCAAGCACAGAAAGTATTTTCTAGTCTTATATTTAGCATATGCATTTCAATAATGGAGGAAGCCCAACTTCTCTGAATTTTTCAAAACATACAAAGAAACACCCCCTGCATTTAACTGAACTGAGGTCTTAAATCAGATCATCTGCTACCACTTTCTAATTTGTTCCTAAAACTGGCAAGGGAAGGGGATTGTTATCTTCAGAGTTCAAAAGGAGTAAAGCGTCAGCCTGGTAAGAAACTCCCAGATCCAAAAATGTTTCCTGGACAGCGAGGTTGTGGCGGTGACACACAGCCAGCTCTGCTGCCTCGGGGAGCCAAGAATGAGGAGCCCAGAGCCCTGTATCATAATACATCCAGCCCCACCGATGGGCTAGATTTGATGGGGAGCAGAGGGTAGCCCAGAACAGTCACTGTCAGCCTAAGTCAACTTTTTATAGCCTAAGTGAGGATTCCCACAAGGGAAGCATACGTGTGAAGTGTAATATTGATGTCTAACAGCCGCCAGCTAAAAGGAAGATTGGTGGGAGTTGCATTTGCTGTTGCTTGGCTGAAGCACAACTACGTGAGCTGGATTTAATCCACTGATGGCTTACAGAGACCCAAACAGGTTTATGTTTTCAGAGTTTGGAATTTAAACTGCCCAAGAAGACATATTCATGCAGGCAAATAGTTTGCAACAGCCCCTCTGTGCAGAGAAAGGGTCGAAGATTTACAGTTACTGCTGTAGATACAACTTGTTAACTCAACTGTGGCCGGTTCCTCAGAGCTGTCTCCTACGGAGCTCTCTCACCTCCCCCAGGTATGCAAAGCCGTAACTTGCGGAAGAGCAAATTATAACTCCCAGGTTATACTGTGCTGGTGTTTCTCAGGTAGCCTGTCGGAGCTAACATGAACTACACTAAAACACTGGTGTTGGTGTGCCAACCGCTCTACAGCAGAGAGGCTTTGAACTGCACGGTGCTAGGTGACTCCCTTATACATAAAGGCATTTAAGTCTTCTTCTGATGGCTACTAACCACTGCTGATGACTTCACCACGGGTGCTAGAAAAAAAGACAAAAAACCCCTATCCTGCCCTGCTGCAACGTTCAACTACCAAAGCAATGATTTAACATTTATTTATCAGCCAAAGACTGCAGGTTAACGCAAGTGTTGTAACATCTAGGAAGATCAGAAACACTTCCGTGACATTTCTAGATTAGTGTCGGCAAGCCTTTCCTCCTCATCCTTTCTGAGCCCTGTGGTTATGGAAATCCAGAAAAATCAGAATGCAAAGCATACTGCCCCTAGTATCTGTGTTGAGCATACAGAGTAAATAAACAGCATCAATAGGAAAGTGAGATCAGCAAAAGTCTTTTCAGTTTTAATAAATTAAGAGTCTAAATAGTACAAATAAGGTTTTTAAATTACTTATCCCAATATAGACCTTTGTTGGTGTTTTATTGCAGTAAAATTCTATTGCCAGGGCCCCTTATTGCAACATCAGTTTTAAAGCCTATTGAGTGAAGCCTTTTCCAGGAAAAGTTCTGCTTAAAACCTGATGGCAGTCTGCAATGATGAGTTTACAGGAGCAGAACAGGACCCAACCAGTGCACAGTTTTTGATGGTGAGCTGTCACTGCAAGGAGATAACACCTCGCAAACCTCCTAAACCAAGCGCAGCATCTACACTTGCTTGTTGCTCAGGCCCTATAAGTGCTGGATCCAGCTGTATGGAAAACATCTCTGTCCACTCTTGCAAACCTCGCATGGGAGTTGATCTCCCTTCCAGGATATATGCATCACCCATGAGTGAAAATTCAGGTCTGAACTGTCACCTTCCAGAAGCTTGGTGACTTAGGGTAAGAGGCTCAGATGCAACGATTTTCATTCAGATCCTTTCTTCGTTCCAAGGCATCTCATGACTTCCCAAGCACGGGGAGGCAATGCACTATACCTTCTTCCCCAAGGAGCAAGACTAGGGTGACTCTTTTTACATCATACTGATGCACATCTCTTCCTCTCCTAAAAGCCTTGCTCCACCTGCATTACTCATTCAACTGCAATGGAAGTAATTGGCAGAGTAAAGTACAATCCAAGATGAACGAGGCTGCCGCAATCAGGATGTCCATAACCAAATTCTCCCTTTGGAATGCAAACCACCTGGCCACTGCGATGGATCCAACCAGCCCACCCGTGTCTTGTTTCCTCTGGGGTGAGAAACAGCTGAGGCTAGGAAATTCTGCAGCACCCATGCACCTTCTCTTCCATTTCCTCCATGGGAGCTTTGAATTTCAAGAGGGGTGGATCACCACTGGACACTGTGTAATACACTGAGGTCCCATTGGAGCTGTAGGGAGAAGTCCTGGATCCCATTAGGTGTGACTTGGCCTCACCCCCGTTCTCGGCAACTCCTCCCATGCCACTGCTGAAGTGGGTGCTGAGGAAAGGGTGATTGAGGAGTTTGGCTGCAGCCCGCTGCCGCTTAAGTTCGGAGAGCGTTTGATGGTTATGCTCCTTGTAGGCACCCCAGAACTCCTGCGTGTCAGGGAGCCCGGGGTTGCCGTAGGGCAGCATGTGGCCTGGATTACTGTCAGGGTCAGCGTGCATACTCCAAATGTCCCCGTTGGAAAAAGTGTACTGGTAAGTGCTGGCAGATGCCATGAGTCCATTCTGGAGGGGGATTTCAGAGTCACACTGGGTGCTTTTGTTTGCTAACTCCGGAAGGAGGGAAGAGTTCTCCAGCACTGAATTCTGTAACAAGAAGACATGAAAGAAGAGCATCTTCCGCTGTCCCTCATAACACAGTTCATCCCTGTGGCAGCTTCCTAAGCCTGCTCACACTAAGCCCTTCCACCAGACAGGGACTGCAGCACAAACATTGAATCCACCCACTAACAGGACCCTCTAATGCTGTGAGCCCCAACCAGGAGCTGGTTCCCAACCAGGAACATGGAACGTTAACTCAGAAGGACTCACTCATCAAAAAAAATTAAAGATATATAAGCATATTAATATAACGTGACAATAACTGAATTAAAAACAAGTAACTGCAAAACAAGATTACAATTCTTTTGTGATTACCAGCTTGTTAGCTGTAAAGAGGAATGCACACGCTATTTTTTCTGAACTTCCTGGTTTGCTGGGGCCATATCTCAAAACTATGCAGCTGGAAATCCAAAACAGTCTTTCCATGTGGCATATTAATATAACGTGACAATAACTGAATTAAAAACAAGTAACTGCAAAACAAGATTACAATTCTTTTGTGATTACCAGCTTGTTAGCTGTGAAGAGGAACGCTATTTTTTCTAAACTTCCTGGTTTGCTGGGGCCATATCTCAAAACTATGCAGCTGGAAATCCAAAACAGTCTTTCCATGTGAGTGGGATATCCCAGTTTATACCAAATGAGAATTTGGTCATTTGCTTACATCTGATGGATGAGGTTTACGAATTTTTCAGCAGCCACCTACCATCCCAGGGCACCCATTCCTATTGAACCTGCACTACCAGCCCTCTTTGGTGACTCCCATAATACAGGAGAGATTCCTTACGGGGTCTGTATTCTCCTGGTCAGAACGAGTCTCCCCAATTTCTCCGATGAGACCCGAGTTTCTTCCTTCTTCTGCCGCCCCCAGTTGCTGCCAGACGATGGCTTCTTTCTCACACTCCTTCCTGTAGAGGTTTGTTCGGTCCGAAAGGCTGGCCCTCCTCACCACCTTTCTGTGGGACAGGGAGAAGGGGTATCGAAGCTGTAAGCAGGACATGACATTTCCTCTTACCCTGTAGGTCTTCTCACCTCCTCCTTGTGCTTCACAGCCTCTCCCACTGGAATGGAACGTGAATTTAGCTTCCTGGCATCCACACAAAGCAAAGGCACTAGTGAGGATATTAAAGGCAGGAGGAATTTCAAGAAGTTTTAAAGTAGTACTGCAAATCTGCGTTAGGTCTCATGCAGCTCATCTAATGGATTTGCTGCAGCCAGTGGAGTAAATGTAGAGGGAAAGGGCCCACAGGATGTTTAGGGAGTTTTGTGGTCTGCAGGACTGCTTTGGTGTCTAGTAAACATCTTACAAAGACCTGTGCAAACTGCCTCTGTACACAGTGTCTGGGCCATGAGACGTATTATTGAGAAGCTCAAGTTAATCCTTTTGAAGCACTGATTTTCAGACATCAGTATCAGTGGTTTAACAGGGTAAGTTCTCACCACTTGGTTCTCTGTTCGGAGCAGTTTGTAAAACCACAACAGTGCAGAGCCATTTTCCCCCCAAGAAACACCACCTCTTGCTAGTGAAAGAACTTCAAAGGACATCTGCCTTCAGCAACCGAAAGTCAGCTTCTGCCTTTCAGAGTTTGTTCAGAAAGAACAGACGGGTCGTTCTCCGCATGCCGACCGCAGGGTGCTCTGCAACCACATCTGGGTGGCCCAGCGAACGCACCGTGACCTGCAGGGAACAACACACTTACCCCCGGCTGCCAGTGCTGGAGGTCCTTCGACTCAGGGAGGATTTATGCCTCAACTGAGACTTCATGATCACATCGTGTTTGTGTTTCAACTCCAGAAGTAATACTTTGAATTCCTCCTCTTCACACAGATCTATGGCACACACAAACCAAGCCATTAATCAGACAGTTCAGATGTGGTACAATTAACACCATGTTACTAACGGTGCCTTCCTAGCATATACAACTACAAATGCTAGGAGGAAGAGAAGGAAAATTTAAGCAGAATATGCTTAGGCACATTAATCTCTAAACAAATTAGTGGAAGCAGAATGGTTTGGACACCTAAACGGGAGCAGAAAACAAGAGCTGCTGATTGTGATGGGGGCTCAGCTTTGCAATGATCCAGCTGTTCAATTTTGTCCCATCTCTGCAGCATGCTGTGCCTTTACCCTTGAAAGGGTGAGAAATATATTGACCACGGTATCAATGCTTCAAGATGGGAGGAAAAGAAATTTCTATAATTACCAGACTGCAGCTGCCCTGAATATAGCATTTTTACTTAAGACTCCAAAACAAAACAAAAAAAAAAAGTGCAAACAAAACCAGACCAGATCAGGACAGAAGACAAGAACTTTCAACCTTCAAAATGAGGATGCACAGATTTTTCAATTAAGACTCAGAAAATCTCTTGCCAAAAGAAAACGTGCCACAAGGTTGTAATACACATGGTCAGATGCAAGTGTTGTTACTTCCAGTCTGTTCCAAGACTTGTGTGTGCTTTCTCTCTCCTCTGCAGCCCCTTATAGCTTACCACACTTCACTGCATCAAAGCTAAGTTAGACACCCAAGTCTTAGGGCTGCACTCAACAGCTGCTCAGATCCAAGACTACAATGTAAGAGCAGGGAGACTCCCAAGCACAGGTACAGAGGGGTAACATGAGTGGAAACACACAGGAGAAAGACTTGGTGCTTAAGAAATCTCTTCTCTCTTGTTTTTATGAGCAGGAAGAAGCATTTTCAGAAGTAGCAAAGGAGGCACTTCAAAACTTCAGTCCCAGTTAAAGTAACTGCAACTTCGATTCTAAAGACACCTGAGAAATAAAGTTAATGCTTCTGAAACCACCGTGTGAAAACTCCAGCATGCTTAAGGGGAAAAGTGATCTCGTGGTTTTTTTAAGCTTAGTAAACTCACCGATTGGCATCTCATCCAAAGATGTCCTGGCACTCAAACTAGCCCCATGCGACACAAGCAGCTCAGCCATCTGCATCTAAAGAAAGGGAAAGAAAGGCAACTTGAGGTATTTTAGACAATTGCTTTCCTCCTCAAAGCTGGAAAGATGGAATAAGATAAGAAGCAATGGCATGCATGCTCAACTCGCCTCAAATTGTTCTGGTACATGTGTGATGTTAAACATAGTTCCTACAACTCAACTGCACAGACATACTCTCCTTGAATTTTCTCAGCAACAGGTTCGTTTTGGAGTCCCAAGGACCTCATCTGACACTGTCCAGAGAGTCCAGCCCTGGTACAGATTTCCTTCATTGGCAGAGTACTCCACAATTTGTCCAGGCAGAAAGAAAAGTCACCCTCATACATGGCATTTGCAAAAAAATCATTACCTGTCCCCAGAAAGCAGCAGCATGAAGAGGTTCCCAGCCGTCCCAGTCCTTAATATCCAGGCTTGCCCCCTGGTCAAGAAGGACTTCAGCTGCATGCAGATAACCATTGGCTGCAGCTATATGCAGCTAGGAGATAAGGAACAGAGCATGAACCACCTGCAAGGACTATGAATGGTTTTAGACACCACGTTTCAGTGGAATTTCTTGGATAATGTCTGAGTCTAGATCTGGACAGGCAACACATTTCACATTTGGCAGATGCCATCAGGTCAAAAGCAGGTTGTTCCTGACTCAGTATCACCTGTATGTAAATTCTGATTGGAGAGGAAACCACTTAACAGTTCTTAAAAAAACTTACACGTATGGGTTAGAAAAATAATGTTTTCACATTTTAAATCAAGGGCTCTTAAGTGCTTCCCAACCTGTAGGAAAACAGCACCATCAAAATGCAAGCCTGCAATGGAGAACATCATCCACTGTAAACTCTGCATTCCTCATGCCAGAAGAATGTCTCCTCTTCCACACCTAAGTGCCGTGGATGTGATTTTTTGGATTGCATTTTCAGCCTGCTTTAGAAGTCAGGACTCCCTTCGTGCAGTTTCAGTCCCACTTAAGCTATAATTGTTTTCACCATTTGAAAATCAAGAACATTTTAATCCTTGGCTACTTTTAGTTAAGGGAATATGATTTTTCAGATATTGGCTTCCAACTACAACCATCACTTTGAAGACATCAATAATAGTCTCCTTTAGTCCCCCACAACACTTCATGTCTCTGAAGATTTTCATAATTGCAGTCTGCTGTTGCATCTCTAAGCAAAACATTGACCTATGCACTACTCTGAAGGTATGAACTCCACTCAGAGCTCATCCTATTTCAACTGTGCTAAAGAAGAGAATCAAAGTTTCTTTTCAAAAATTTCCATGTGGATTCCACCACACAAAGTCAAACACTCATATGGAAATAAATTCTGATGCTTTCTAGCAATTCAAGTAATTTCTACATAAATATTACGGCACTGGGTTGTACCCTCTAGAGGCCATATGAATTAACAAGGAATCACTTTGGGGTGATATAAAAGTGGAAGCCAAGAGGTCTGCTTAAATTTATTTATATATATATAATCCTCATTAAAGGGAAAAATGCATTCAAAAATAATCATCCAAGTCTATCTTGGAGGAAGCCTGCCCTCCCCTTACACATCTGGTATATGCTATAGGTGACAATTTAGATTAAGAAACCTGAATGCACTGCCATGGTCTGTCCATCAAACAAATGACACCAAGTGGCCTGCGTATCAGTTATGTGTGGACCAAACATCAAATGACCAAAGTTTTATGAAAGTCCCAAGACATAGGACAGCATTACTGAACTTTGCCTAAGTTGGGACTGCTGTAAGCAAGGGTTTAAGATACATGTTTGCAGGTGAAAAAGAAGGGAACAGGACTAGGACTGTGCAGCTTTCTCGGTCCCTGTCCATTCATATCAGATGCCAGCTTGCTTTGTGCTGTACATTCGTCCTGGGTGCTCTCCTCTGCCCAGGGGCAGATGCCATCCTACGTGAATAAATACAGCACTCCATTGACTCTGTATGAGCCAGATGCTATGCAAAGCAGAAAGAAGAGGAGCCAGAAAATCTCCAGAGTGCCCAACACCAGATCCTCCTCCCATGAAAACCAGAGGACTCTCACATCTCTGCCATGGGAGTCAGGTCAGACTACGGGACTAGTGAGAAGCAAAACATTACTGGGAGGTCTTTCAGTCCCGTTTCCTCAGGGGTCAGCACAAGTGCTATGTTCTGCAACTCTTCATCACAGGATTTCTTGCCCCTTTCTTTGTCACCAGGCTCTGTCAGACAGCACCCAGGAGCTCAGCAGCCTTGCTGCTGGACAACTGACAGAGCTCTCATGAACAAGGCATTCGCTTCAAAAAGCACAGGGTTAGACACTAAGTTATGTCAGCTGTACTCATGGACAGAGCCTGTTCCTACGTGACAATAAACTAAAACAGGGAAAAAGATCAAAATTGCTCCCTTACTCCTCTCAGTGACTTGTACATGTTGATTTTGTATAACTCCTGCCACAGGGCAGGTTTCATAACCTACAGGCAAAGGAAGGCAAAAGCGAAGCCGCAGCAGTTTCACTCACCAGTGTAGCACCTTGGGCATCAGTCCTGTTCAGGTCTTGTCCAGTTGCAAGTATGTCATGAATGTCACAGATCATGACCTGCTCTGGAGCAGCCCGCATCTCATTGATCCTTTCCTGTGTAATTCCTGTTAAAATTCAGAGTTAGAGGGAAGAAGAGTTGGAAAGGGTCTTTGCCTCCACTGGTTGCATAAAATTACACTTACGATTCCTGATTGGTATGACCTTACACCCTTTTCAGAGGTCATGTAACTGGGGGGATTGACAGCTGTCCTTTCAAACTCATCATTATTTAGGAATCAAAGAAACTAGACAGAGTCAGGTTCCAAGAAATTATGCCAGGTAGCAGCTCTCTGCTTTTCTCCAGAGGCAAATCAAGAGCTGAGAAACAAGGTAATTTTTAGTACTACATTGACCCATTTTTGTATTTGACATGAACTCAGTCTCCTTACCTTGATAAGCCATGCAAGTCTCAATGACGTCCAGAGTTGGCTCATCTTCACAGAGGTCATACGGCATGTTGCCATCTGCATTTACTGCCAACAAGTCTGCTCCACTGCAAGGAGAGAAGAGTTACACAAGAAAGGTCCTCACACATCCTACAGCAGACAGTGCCAAACACTGGGATAAATGCTTAGGAAAAACTAATTGAGGTTTAATAGTTGCCCAAATGTCACCAAGATCTGTGTGAGAGAAGAAAGATTTGAAGCAAAGCCATGGAGCTATGAATGGGGAAGATAAATTCCAGAAGTGGCTGAAAGGCAGCATGCTATGCCTCCTTCATGGGCTATGGGGGCACATGAGCCACTGAGCTGTTCCTGTCCTCTCCTGATCCTGGCACTGGACAGACAGACAGACAGCTTCTCAATGATAGAAGTGATTTATTTGCTGAATTTCTGGATAACAAGCCAAGCAACTACCAGGTGCTTGTTATCTGGGTGTCTGGCAGTCCCTCAATGAAAAGTTTACAAGGATCAGAAAAGTTGGGAAAGATACGGGCTGAATGGTGGAGGAAGGCTTCCATCTAGCCAAGGGCATGTTGGCAAAAAATAGTAATAAAAAAAAAATTCTGTCAACTGGTGAATTTTTCGTTCCAATTATCCAAAAGCACTTCTCCAAGTGCTCTAGTGGCCTGCAGGAGGTCACTACTTGGACAAAATTGCCAGCTAAATTGATCGTTGTCACCATTTTCCCACATAGTAGAAAATTTCCAGCACCTTCTGAACTGTGCCATTTTAGTTAGCTGTTAAATACTTCCAGCTGTATTCTGATCTACCTTGACAGTTAACAGCCTTGGAAGGACAGCAGACAGCATCCATTTGCATTTAGATTCCATCATCTTTATATATTTTTTTCCCTTCTGCCTGAGCAGAGCAAATTACATTGAAATTCACATTTGCAAAGTACCAGCGTTAGCTTAATCAGCAAATAAAAAAGCAAGGAACTGGACATCTTTTGTGGGCTACTTCCTCTGATGGTCTCCAAGGGTTCCAGGTCCCATCACCAGTAACATTGCCTTCAAAGGCAGTGTTTAACTCGTCATTAGATATGTGACACCTCCTGTAAAGGACAACTTTGATTGTAGGAAACAAATTAAATCACCCCATTCCTCAAAAGTCCAGGGGAAGATTGTTTCTGAGCATGGGATCATGACATTAGGGTACTACAGTCCAAATTTGCTGGCAACTACTTACCACAGGGCAGTCTATGACAACTAGGGCCGTAAGCTCCAGTTCCTCACCTTGCCACCCATCCGATGACACTCCCTTACCTCCAATTAAGAGTCAGGAATGCACTATATTGTTCCACATATATTTGCTCCATTTTTATGCCCTTCATACAAAAATTTCCTAACCCACGTGGGAACATCCTCCAAGGGATGATTGTTTGCATCCTCTGCTCTACTTCCTCCATTATATGGCCAAAAGAAGGGCCACATTTTTAATGCTAGTCTCCCAGATGACAGCATCACAGGAAGAAGTCTCCCTCCCCAAGGAAGAAGCAGCAGGCACTGCTGTGCAGGGCAGCATGTCAACACTCCCAAAACACGCTCTACCCTCTACACTGTCACTCTGGGAAACGGAGGAGAGAGCTCCATACAGAGTCAAGACGATCTGCTCCAGACAGGATTCACAGCAGGTGCTCATTAAATGCTGCACATGGTACAGCTCAAAACACATATGGCTTCCTCCTCCTTGCTGGCAAGTCAAGGGAAGGCTTGAGCTTTAGGGCCTTGGTAAAGGCAAGTGGAAGGTCCAGCGCGAGCATCCTGTCTCACACCGCTGAGGAACAAACACATTACAAGAAGCTAACTGGTTACTAATTAAGAGTCAGTAAGACAGGTCACAAAGTTCAGCCAAGTATCTGAGCTGTACGAACATGCTGTCCTACATCAGTGTCTCTTTGGCTGTGGTTGGAAGACGTGAAGTCATGTTTAAGAGCTTGAGGGTGGATCCTGCTGGCTGCTCCTGTTTCTACCCATCAAGCGAGCACAGTCCAACAAGCACAAACACAGGCACATACACAGCAGAATACAGACAAAAAGTGGCATGTTTTGACCCAGTCCCCAGAAGCTTCATGAAACTGAGTCAAGTAATCTAGGGTTTTACTGCATGTCCTCAGCCTTTCTGCTCTTCCTCCTCCACCCCCTTTTCTCCCATGCAGGAAGGAGTCCCATGAATAGCCTGAAAGCAGGGAATAATCACCACCGCTGCCATCTCGCAAGGTACTAAGCAGTCTCGGTCTCCATACACAGAAGCTGTGGGTAGAATCAGGTCTGCAGAAAGGGACAGACACAAAAAGCCACCTACTGCTGGATGAGGATCTTCACCAGATTGATATGACCACATGTAGCTGCTGCATGCAACGGAGTCCACAGCTCGTTGTCCTTTGCATTGACATTGGCCCCATGGTTGAGGAGAAGCTTGACTATCTCTTCATAGTTGTCTATGCAGCACTGGTGAGGAAGAGATGCAGAAAGATGTTTTTTTTTAAACTTTGTGAAGATGGGTGCTCATACGAGTTGTACCAGGGTACCTGGGTGTGGAGACCTACTTTATCCTGCAGTGTTTGGCAACAAGCATCTCCAACAGAGTTAAACACTAAATTGAGCACAACCAGGTCAGAAAGGCACTATGCAGAACACCTACGCTGGGCAGACTGAAGGTCAGTGGTGTTTAACAGGGCCTCCTGGTTTGGGGCAGAACCAATAGGGAACAATAGCAAATATGTGCACAGCTTCTATTCCACTGGGTCTTCCATATTCAAGAGCAAACACAGCAGAAATTCAACATAACCAGTATAACCACATACCAAGGGATGAGCTGACAAGGTGACATTCCCTTTTCTTAGGGAAAATCCCACACACTGGCATATGATGAGTAAAAGTCTTCTCAGCAGCTCACGCTACCTACCACAGTTATCTGAAGAGATGCGAGCTGGATTCCCAGAATTATGTGGTACTTCGCAGGGCACCTTTCATTTCCTGAAAAGAACCAGCATCCTCGATGCATTTACACCACAGTCCCAGAGGCAGCCTGCAAGAACGGCCTCAACCACTTTCCTTTGGGGAAGGTGGAATTTGCTCTTTGGCCCACCTCGTGCTCACCTCTTGACATGAATCCGTGTATGATAAAGACACTAAAGTAAGATTCATCCTTGTGCAAGAAGCTTGGTCTACATGTTACCGCAGGCTCACACGGGCTCAGCACTGCAGTATGGTCTTGTAATGGGGCTGGATTAAAACCCACCACAAGCATTTTAGCAGCTGAGTGACAAGGACCTTTTATGTACCTCTATTTCTGTTTACTATTTGTATATGGAAGTGAGGTTAAAATCATGCCTGTCACACAGCTAAGTTATCACAGAAGCGTAACTGCATCCTTCACTGGAAGCCACTGCTAATGGGCCATAGCGTTCACGTAGGAGCTTCTCTCTGTTCAGGGATTCAGCTAATTCTAGTGGATGCAAAGTTCCCGCCTCAGCTCCCAAATGCACCTCGATAATAACTGATCCTTCAGTGGGCAAGGTGGGATTCTCCACGGCTTCGGTACCTAGCAGGGAAAGCAATGAGGCTGTCAGCGTTTCTCTCTGTGCAGAGGAACATCTCTTTGGAGATGTGGTTCTGGTGGGGACCTTTTATTCTTCTAGTTTGCATTTTTAAGCAAACATCCATCTAGCTTTGTAGAGAGCGAGCGACTTGCCGAAGAATCCAAAATCCCAAGTCAATGGGAGCATTTACAGCAGGGACTCATGGCGAGAAAACCACGAGTCCCCATTCCACCCTCGGAGCGCGTGTGACAGCCGCGCCACTGTTCTTCGCGGCAGCGGAGGCGGCCGCTGCCAGGCACGGCGAGTCCCACGGGCCTTCTGCAGGCTGTCTCCTGACGCTTTCGCACTGAAAGTCAGGACTCATGAGGAGGGGTGGGGATGGGGGCCTTCGGAAAAAACAGAAAAATCCTTATGGGATCAGTGCAGAGGCTCTGAGGAAGGCTTACACCCCACTATTAGCAAGTCTATTTTACTGGCGATCAGCTGCTGCCATCTCATACAGGCTTTCGGAAGTCTCTGAGCCTGCAGAGAGCAGCAGCGGGCTCTCCAAACATCCTGTGCGTCATTTATTTAAACCAGTTTCAAAACTCACGGGCTGCCAAAGTCTCTAAATTTCAGTTAACCTGCTTTAAGAGTTTACAGCCCAGTGCTGCAAAGATTAAAGGGTGGGAGAAATGTCCATGTCTGAAATCCAGCCCCAATTCCTGAGCTCTTATTGTCACTGAACAAAGTCTGGGATACAGCAGGAGAAGGGTTTGATCTCAGTTTGCTCCCCAAGAAACAGGATTGCCAGCACAACGTGTTAAAGTTTCACTGCTTTAACTGAGCAACAAGATGAAATACAAGAGCTCTCCCCGTTCACCCCGACAGGTCTGCTCAGAGGGCAGCGGGAAGACGGACAGTGGCTGCGACCTCGTCCCACGCCTCACCTGATGCAGTGCAGTTAATCCATCTTCATTGCACAGGTCTGGGCTGATGTTGCTCTTCAGCAAGTAACACACTGTAAGGGAAGGAGACAGGAGGAACGGCGTCAGATCAGGAATCCTAACACACCTCCTGCTCTCAGCTAGCCCTGGCCAGTTCAAGCTGAAGGGAACCCGCACCATCAGGGTGTCCCAGTGCGGGCAGAGCTGAAGGAGACCGTGTAGCCAAGAGCTCAACACCGGCATGAACCCGCAGTCACCGCAGTGCCAGTGAGAAAAAGGCCTTCTTGGTTTTATCCAGCAGAGAGCACCAGCATACAATTTTCCCCCAACTGCCTTCCAAAAGAGACTTTGCTATTTATTACAGCTGTCATTTTCATATGGTTTTGCTAGAACAATCTACATTTTTATCCTGTGCTTTGCAACATCTGAGTGCAACCCCTGCACACGGCAGCCCAGGAGACCTCAAAGGCAATCAGGGATTTTGGGGTCCTGAGTTACAGCCATAAGAGAGATCTCACTGTGGGGGAGATGAGGTCTTGCCTCAAGAAGTTATCAATCTGGGACAAGAAGGCAAATACGTTCAGGGGCCTGGCACATCTAAAATACACCGAGGTTGCTTTGGACACTTCACATGAAACGTTACATATTTGAAGAAAGCTTCCCAGAGGTTTTCTTTTTTTATGACTGCTTTGGAGGGAAAGGATAAGATTTATTCCATTAAAACGCAAATTTCTGAAACACGTGAAAAGCCATTAGCCTCTAGGTAAAAGATAAAATTTGCTCTGAGGTACAGCTCTTGCACGCGGTAATAGCAATAAGGCTGGCAGAGGAAGTAAATTAATAGCAACCCCAGGAACTCTTCAAATTCAACACTGCTGACAGATCTTCATGATCTATAACCCATCTTCCGCTGTTTACTTGCTCATTCCCTGCTTTTTCCAGAGATTTCACTAACTAAGGCTTTTCCCACCTCAGACGTCACTGAGAGCACAGGCACAAGCCAGAGGTTCATAACCATCTCCCTGCGGCCAGGGTAGCAGCAGATATTCAAGTCCCATCTTATTTGTTGGCAAAGTTGCAACCATTAAGCGTAACCAGAGCTGCAAAATAAGGAACAGTAACAAAGCTAAAAGGGCAGTAATCATCTTCAGAGCTGGAAATCAAAAAGACTGCAAGGTTGGTCACTCCCAAAGCACCTTGCAGCTTCTGCTGCTTTTGACCGACCGCTGTCCCGCTGTTAGAAGGAGCTCTTTCCCCGGCACATCCCCAAGGAAACCTGCCCTCGGGGCTGTCCCTGGGGACAGAGCACTTCTGGCATCCAAAGTAGAACATGGAAAACATGTCCACAATGACATCAATGTTGACTTATGGAGCTTTGTTAAAAAGAGTTGGAAAGTGCACTTGCAAGAAAGGCGAATCAAAACCAAAGTGAAATTTTGTTTGGAAGCCACCAGTCTGATGTTACCAAAAAGGAAGGCAAAACTGGAAAGAAGCGAAATAAAACACTTTATATCACAGGATTGTTCCACCCGACTCAAAATGAATGCAGGAATTTACATTTGCTGGAAATAACTTTAAGCCATTGACACCTGCTCAATGAAACTGATACAAAAAAGCAGAATACAACAAAGAACAAAACTCATCGCCCACCACGGCGAGTCTGAAGAGTCTGAGTTTTTTCCAGCTCAAAAGCCACTGCAGGAAGCCTACGCCTACCCCCAGCTCACACCCCCTGACACTTGCATGCCTGACAGTAATAAGAGCGCTGAACCCCAGCCAGTATATCTAATTTAATGACTATGCTTCTACTGTTTCTGGCCAGCCCCAAGCTCCTGCTCTCCTAATCCACGCTGAGTGATAAGCGAGGCATTCACCAGTGGATCTGGTTGTCTCTTGTTTACTTTGGATGCTCTGCCATTAGGGTTTTAATTCAATCTCAGTCATTTAAGAGCCATTGTATACTAATGACATCAAGCTCTGTAATCATGTTTTGTCTGATTATGGAGATTTGGACAAATAGATGCTGGCAGATTAATCTTACAAGTGCTGTCCCTCCATGGGAAGAAGCAGTAGCATAAATCCCAGCTTGTTATGGAGTATCAGGTTTTCTGTTGAAGGCTCTGTGATCATGGCTTGACAGAGCTTCTAAGAGACCTTGAAGGGTTAAGATTCAGAGAAGGATTTATCTTACCCTAAAGCAGCTTTGAATTCTCTGCTAAACGCTGCAGCAGCCCTCATGTTCACAATGCACCTCCCTTGGCTCCCATCTGCCCTCGGGACTAGCTCACCACAGCCCTCAAAACATTTCCCATTATCCCTCAACACACCGAAGACTGACAACCACAAGACTCCAGAAACGAGCACAGAAAAGTCAGGTAATGAAGCTAGGTATGGATGTGGTACCAATGAGTCCAGGCAAACATGGCTTGAAGAAGAGATCAAACTCCTTTCCGACTAGAGGAAGTTGGCACCTCGGGGTGCAGCAGGGGAGCACAGGGCTGGGCAGCAACAAGTCCTGGCTCTTTTCTCTAAAGTCAGAGGGATGTTGCCTTCAGTATTCCTCATGCTCCAGCCAACAAATCCCAACAGCTAGGCAGAAGTCTCCAAGGACTGCGATCTCCTTTTACACATGCCCCCTTTTACAAGCAAGGGCATCTACCCAGCGCCCCACCAAGCTCGTAGCAGAACGCAGCCCCAGTTCCTACCCACCACCCCCACAGCAAGGCACCGGGCGGCAAAGAGCAGCTTCGTCACCCCCCGCTCCCCGTGGGGAGACCTGCAGAGGGACGTGGTGGGACGACATGGATCTTCCCCATGCCCGCTACCCAGGAACGGCGTGGGCGAAAACCTCCTGCCCTCCCATGTGGCTGGGAAGAACAAGTCTTCCTTTCTGATGGACTTCAGGAGAAATGTGCATTTGTGTTTTCCAGTGCCTTAAGAATAGGAAAGGGGGGGCACAACTGCAACGCTTTGCAGTGCTGGAAGCCGGACCCTCAGCTCCAGGGCTGTGGCACTGCCAGCAACCCGCTCCGCTGCTGAACACACAACGTAAGGGACGGGGACCCGAGAAGCAAAGTGCTTCTCTTCAAGCCTGCTGGGGCCACACGCCTCGCTGCGAGCCCAACACCTTCACCTCCCACCTCCAGGCACGAATGATGCCGTACAGTTAGGAAGCGGACGCTTTGGCTCGCGAGGACGCAGATTAATCACGCCACGCCAGCTGATCGCCTTCTGTCGGCTAAAGCCTCAGCACCCCACTGGTGAAAGAAAGATCCCCCACACGCACAAGGTATGACATGGAAACGGGTCCTCTGCGAGCTGAGGTCACGCCAAGCCCGACAGAATGGGCTTTTATGGGTCACCTCGGTGGGTTCAGATTGCCGCAGGCAGCAGCCTCCACTTCAACACTTACGATTAACTTCTTAAAGAGAGCTCAGTACCTAAAACGCTGAGCTCTTTAAAAATGTCTTTCTTTCTATGTAGGCAGGGGGAGGTGGGGAGAAGGGGCTGGATGCGTGTATATACTTTATTACATCTCAAGCACAAGTTGTGGGAAGTAGTTTCAAATGCATAACAAATGAAGGAATGAAAATGATTACAATACGAGCTGGGTGAACAAATTGTTGTGAATAATTCATTGCAAATTATATTAACTGAACAATCACTCAAATGTATTTTCCATTATTCTGCTTGCTCTGCCTATAATTGAACCTCTCACATGCCAAGATGGTGTACATTAATCTTCAATTTATATTTTATCATTCACATCTGTGCTGTGTTAAATGGAAAAAGCTCCCACAACAGCTGTGAAAATACATCACAGGTTTTAAGTCACCCTCCATCACATGTCCTGGGGCAGCCTCAGACAGATTCTCCTCCCTGAACACAACAAACCCACTTCTCAGGAGCTCCCTCTCCTCCCAAGCGTGTCCAAGCCTTGCTTATTCTCCCCAAAACCCATAAATCAGGGGGAAGACAAAGAAGCCACTGCAAAGGCTCTAAGGAAAATTCAATACGGGGTAATCAGCTCTCTCACCTGAAGAGACATTACTGCACTATCGTTTCTCACTGATGTTACTTCCCACTGAGTTTACACTAGAAAATAGCTTTTCCAGAGAAGTTCCTAAACCAGGTGAAGACTTTTCCATGGAGAAAAAGCCCATTGTCAGTGCAGTTCCCCCTAAGTCAATAAGCTACACCATAAAATTCTGAATACTATTATGCTCCCATCTATACCCAGCTTTGCATACCTCAACATTAGTAACTCATAAGAGAAAAAGACAACTGAAACTGATATGGTTACCAGAGGGTGAAAAAAAAAATGCCAAACCAAACACCTTTCTGATAGGAGGTCCTGATTCCTCCCCAAAATATATAGTGGCAAACTACATACTGGCAAGCAGGCTTACCCGTATGTTCCAAGTTTACAAGCACACACAGGCCATTAGTTTTTAAAAATCCAGGTTTATCTTGATCCTTTGTGCTCAATGATTTCTTTTTGAAAATATTTAAAGTCTTCTAGTCCACTTTTTGGTTCTCAGGCCACCTTTAAAAGCTACTATTGCACTGAGGTCTCTATGGCAGTAGAATACTTCTTGTGCGTTTATACCCGATTTCACTGAATAAAACAAAGAGAAGTTTCCCTTGGATTAAGATGCACACTTTTACACATTGCTAGAAGCCACTTCCACCCAAGTGTAGCTTTAGTCAAAAACCCAGCGAGGTGGAAGAAACTCCTCCCAGCGTGGCTTGTAGTGAGATGCTGGTGGTGTCTGTGCCACATCGGTGTGTTGGCAAAGGTCTAGAAGGACTGATCCCCAGGCTGCCAGGAGCGGTCCTGGGGATGGGCTCTGCTACTTCAAAGCTGTATTTTTACTGCTATGGTTTTGCAGGGGTATTTATTACACAGGAGAAACATTGCCAGCAAAACAGCACTGAAGCTCTGAGTGCTCTGCCAGAGAAGCATCCAGCTTCCTAACACAACGCGCTATGATATTCATATTTAAGAGCATACCTAAACCCGGCACAGTAACAGGACGAAGACACTCAGCCTTATCCTCCACTCCCTGTGGCA